TCCATGGTGTAAGTGTTCAAACACTTGTCTCCATGGTGTAAGTGTTCAAACACTTGTCTCTATGGTGTAAGTGATTGAATACTTGTCTCCATGATGTAAGTGTTCAAACACTTGTCTCTATGGTGTAAGTGTTCAAACACTTGTCTCCATGGTGTAAGTGTTCAAACACTTGTCTCTATGGTGTAAGTGATTGAATTTGTCTCCATGGATGTAAGTGTTCAAAACTTGTCTCCATGGTGTAAGTGTTCAAACACTTGTCTCTATGGTGTAAGTGATCGAATACTTGTCTCCATGATGTAAGTGATTGAATACTTGTCTCCATGGTGTAAGTGTTGAATACTTGTCTCCATGATGTAAGTGTTCAAACACTTGTCTCTATGGTGTAAGTGATCGAATACTTGTCTCCATGATGTAAGTGATTGAATACTTGTCTCCATGATGTAAGTGTTTGAATACTTGTCTCCATGATGTATTAAGTGATTGAATACTTGTCTCCATGGTGTAAGTGTTCAAACACTTGTCTCTATGGTGTAAGTGATCGAATACTTGTCTCCATGGTGTAAGTGTTCAAACACTTGTCTCTATGGTGTAAGTGATCGAATACTTGTCTCCATGATGTAAGTGATTGAATACTTGTCTCCATGGTGTAAGTGTTTGAATACTTGTCTCCATGATGTAAGTGTTCAAACACTTGTCTCCATGGTGTAAGTGTTCAAACACTTGTCTCTATGGTGTAAGTGATCGAATACTTGTCTCCATGATGTAAGTGATTGAATACTTGTCTCCATGGTGTAAGTGTTCAAACACTTGTCTCTATGGTGTAAGTGATTGAATACTTGTCTCCATGATGTAAGTGTTCAAACACTTGTCTCTGTGGTGTAAGTGTTCAAACACTTGTCTCCATGGTGTAAGTGTTCAAACACTTGTCTCTATGGTGTAAGTGATTGAATTTGTCTCCATGATGTAAGTGTTCAAACACTTGTCTCCATGGTGTAAGTGTTCAAACACTTGTCTCTATGGTGTAAGTGATCGAATACTTGTCTCCATGGTGTAAGTGTTTGAATACTTGTCTCCATGGTGTAAGTGATTGAATACTTGTCTCCATGATGTATTAAGTGATTGAATACTTGTCTCCATGATGTAAGTGTTCAAACACTTGTCTCCATGGTGTAAGTGTTCAAACACTTGTCTCTATGGTGTAAGTGATCGAATACTTGTCTCCATGGTGTAAGTGTTTGAATACTTGTCTCCATGGTGTAAGTGTTCAAACACTTGTCTCTATGGTGTAAGTGATCGAATACTTGTCTCCATGGTGTAAGTGTTTGAATACTTGTCTCCATGGTGTAAGTGATTGAATACTTGTCTCCATGATGTATTAAGTGATTGAATACTTGTCTCTATGATGTAAGTGTTCAAACACTTGTCTCCATGGTGTAAGTGTTCAAACACTTGTCTCTATGGTGTAAGTGATCGAATACTTGTCTCCATGGTGTAAGTGTTTGAATACTTGTCTCCATGGTGTAAGTGATTGAATACTTGTCTCCATGATGTATTAAGTGATTGAATACTTGTCTCTATGATGTAAGTGTTCAAACACTTGTCTCCATGGTGTAAGTGTTCAAACACTTGTCTCTATGATGTAAGTGATCGAATACTTGTCTCCATGATGTAAGTGATTGAATACTTGTCTCCATGGTGTAAGTGATTGAATACTTGTCTCCATGGTGTAAGTGTTTGAATACTTGTCTCCATGATGTATTAAGTGATTGAATACTTGTCTCCATGGTGTAAGTGTTCAAACACTTGTCTCTATGGTGTAAGTGATCGAATACTTGTCTCCATGGTGTAAGTGTTCAAACACTTGTCTCCATGGTGTAAGTGTTTGAATACTTGTCTCCATGGTGTAAGTGTTTGAATACTTGTCTCCATGATGTAAGTGTTCAATATACGTGGCGATGAAATATTCACTGCTTCAAAATTTGACTGAAGTCATTCATTTCCTTCTCTACATTGTATTTCTAGTGATTTTCCTACACATATGGTGGTCTATGGTTGGAGTAAAGCTGTTGATGTTGTAGGAAATAAAAATTCTGATTACAGCATTTACTGTGATATTATTGTGAGTATTCTATTTTTTCTATTCTAGTTGAGGTCACGTAATATATTCATATTTAAGAGAATTTGTGATTCCAAACAAATAGAAGATGAATACCAGTTTTTTAAGCCTGAAAACAAATAACAACAGGGTAAATTATTCACTGAATCCAAAAAATGCAACAATAGCATATGTATGACCATAAAAGGTAGTATTCAGTGGTACAAACTTTCTAAAAATAGGGATTCTCAATTATTTGTGTGAATTAATATGACATAAATTTAAATATAATACTGGGAATTATTGCTGTTATAGGGCAACAGTACCCCAGAAAGTACCAGGATGTGTGACCCTTGGGGGTTATGCATAATTAGGCCAATTTAAACAAGGGATGAAAATTAATTTGTTGAAAATTTATAATAAAAATAGAAGAGAGACAGCAAAACCTATACCAATCTATTGTTGTACAACAGCTGTATTGTTTGTTTTATATATGTATAACTCTTTTCAATCCTGCTGTCAAATAGATATGCATTTCATCTATACACACTTATTTCCTAGATTTACATTGATTTTTTAACATCAATTTCAAATGAGAATTGGCAGAGGATTGGACTGAGCATCTTACTGCACATATGCAATGCATTGTGGGTGAAAACTTCACATTTTATACAATGGGAAATAATCATCATCCTTGAAATTCACTGCAGTCTATGTCAATTTTTTTAAATATTTTAACAATATTAGGATCATATGAACAATATTTTTTTTATAAAAAGAAATTTCATCTCATGTTACTGAGCAAAAATTTTAGATATGAATAATTTCACCATGGAAACCAGTGCAAATATTCATTTTCTCAACAAATTAGTATTTGAATGGCCGTGACGAAATGAAGGCATGACGATATGACATATTATTTTCAACTTAACCCAAAATATCCTTAATCATCTATGCTGAAAAGTTAATTTTGTTTTTGTTTTTATGTATTTAAATTAGAAATCTGACGACACTCCATCTTGGAGCCACACGGCAAATTTCAATGTTGGTACACATGACTGGGAGGAGCAGCAAACCCAAATCCACATTGAAGACGGCATAAAACAAGCTACTTGCTATGCGTTATTCCGGAAGAAAACAGGCACAGTGTACTTTGATAATATCTACGCAGATATTCAAAGTTCTTGTAAGACATACTGTATCTGTTGAATTTTAAGTAGTACAGTTTCAATCAATTAAAGTTGGGTATCACTTGGTATGCAGCTCACATATGTTAACCAATGACAGGTAGAATTCACTTCTATTGTCAACAGCATTGAATACTAATTGCTGTCATCTCATGAATATTGATCAGGACTATCTGTTTACTCCAAAATAATGACATTGAATTTGTAATGCTTCCTGTTTGAGTTTTGATAATCTCATAAACTTATATTATAGTTAGCGTAATTTTGCCCAATACTGTAAAATACTTTATTTTAGCTGGAATTAATTTTCACTGAAAAGACATTTTGGGTGTTTTGTATGGAATTTATTTTTTAAAATATAGAAAAAAAGGTATAGTCGCTGGATTTTATTTTACTGAATCATTCCTTCAGCGAAAATAGCGAAAATTAATTCCAAGCGAAAATAAAGTATTTCACAGTACATATAGTTCATGAATAGTTTACAATTGTCAGAGATAACAGTAAGTACTATAATTGCATGTTTTTTAATGTAGTGTACTCTTCCTTTGAAAATTGTGGCACTAGTTCAGGTAGAAGCCCACTCATAAATTGGTCATAAATCACATGAC